TACAGTGCGCCGCTTGGGAGTGCGGTGGCGCTCCCGCCGAGGGTTCGGATCCCACATACAAACCAGTTCCCGCTCACTGGCTGAGCGAGGTGTGGGAGCAACACCGAGGGTTGTGATCCCGTTGCCGGTCCCGGTCCGGTACGGGCGCGACACTGAGGGTTGCGACCCGTTGCCGGACATGAAAAAAGACAAAAAGGAAAAAAAAAAAAAAAAGAAAATACTCTCCTGAGTTAATCTAGAATGAGTCTTAAAGTTATAATATTATTAGTCATCTTACAATGAATCTAGTACGCAAAGTAAAAGATTACAAAACATGTATCTTGTAGATATTGTTTTTTTACAAGATATTGTTTTTACAAAGTAAATGAAACTGAAGTAATCTTTTTTCTGATTTTCTGTTGGTTTCCAAGAGCCCCTGCATTGCCATTCTTTCCTTAAACAAATCCCCCAAACATCATCACTCCAAATGATGCACTTTAGAATCCTTCATGCAAAAATACACCAGGTGACTTCAACACATAATTATTTCAGTGCTTTGTGGCACATTCACAAAAGATGAACATTTTTCAAAGATTTTGTTTTTCCTGCCAAGCGTTCAGAGCAATTCCAAGGATGCAGCATGCATATTTTTCCCAAAATCACAGAAACAAAAATTCTACTAATAATTTGTAGAGCATTCATTTTTCTTATAAATACTGTTTCAACAACCACCAAAGTGTGACATAAGACTGACTTACAATTATTGCTGAAAGTGCTCAGATCGCTGGGAGTGCTGGTGGTCGAGGGGGTGCTTCCTGTCCTCCGCAGCACAGAACTTTTCAAAGATGCTTTGGATTTAGGAAGTGGTCGAGGCAAATTCACCCAATACGGCGGTGTAGTTTTCAATGATGCAGGTTTTCCTTGGGGTTAAAAAAAAAAAGTTTTGACTACTATTCATTTTGAGAGTCAGAGCTTTAAGCTTGTGAACCTAAACGTGCACTAACAACTGAGTCAAAACAGAAGACTAATATTCAGAATCATGAAACTTCAGATGAAAGATGAGAGCTTCAGACTTGTTTATCTTTGAAAATTTAGACCAGAGGAGAAATGAGGAGGCAATTAAGCCTGCAATCCTATAACCTCAAATAAGTAACTTGCACATCTTCTCTGCCGTAGAAGATAGATCAGAAGAATCACAAGGGATGAGAGCTTTTGGCAAAGTTGAAATCAAGGAATAAACAAATTGATATGATCTCCCATACTGTTGACAGAAAAACCAAACAAATTAGTCCACGCACACACTAGGCTACCATGCAAAAAAAAGTGAAAATTTTAAAACCACCAAAACAGGCAGAAAAATTCAATCTTTTGAGAAAAATTTCATTTGAAAAATGTCTAATGCTTACCACAAGGTGGTGCTATATTATTAAAACTCTTTTATTATCTCTTCATCTTTACCTCCCACAGTTAATTTGCCAAACTTAAAGTCTTCATTCAGATTTTTAACTCTTTCTTGCTGCAAGTGTTTCCACTATTCGATTGACTATGTATGCTTCTACCCTGTAACATCTTTGAAACCACAGTCCTGATGCTCACACCTGCTACCTAAAGATGAGCATTTACAAAGTTCAATCCTTTGCTCACAACCCTTCCTATTCACTCCCTCCAAGAATCTATTTTGTTTGCTTTACTCTAACCATTACCCTGTATGGATGAATTCCCAAGCTCACCTGCAGCCCTATCCTCCTTCTGAATCCCAATGCCACATGTTTTAAATTCCTTGTTAAGTTTTTCAACTTGGACAGACACTCCCCCCGCCCCCCACACCTATTTATGCTAATTATAGCTCCATTTTTCACAGCCTCAGAGCACTGGAATCATATTTTCTTCTCCAGATCCCCATATGATCTAGCACCAAGTCTCTCAATGCTACTAGTATCACATAACCGAAAAATATCAAGATCTCAAAAAGACCTCTGATGAAAGTGATATTTGTCACAAATTACTAATGGCACCATAGGTGAGTAAAGTAATCCTGCCAGAAAGTAACGCTCATTGCTTTGTCCATGCGATTTCACTTATAAAAACTTATTTTTTAAAAAAAGGAGCTCAAGCTTCTTAGGTTTGAAGTCACCCGCACAAAGGATGTCCCTCTGGCTCCAGCCTTACTTCTGTACTGTCCTTTCACATCAGTGTGCACTCTGCTCCAGGTGACCCAGTTTTCTGACACCAAGGCATACCACGTGTTATTCTACTTTACTAAACACATCATTTCTTTTTTCAAAGAGTTCTTCTTCTTCTCAATCCAAATCTTGCAAATCCTTATTCACCCCCTTATATCTTGCCTAAACAACTGTATTAGACCCCTAAAGGCCTGTCCTTCCATCCCTTCCAACCCCATCATGCTGATCTCCTGAACATGAAAGTTAACATTATTACACAACCTAAAATTTGTGATTCCCGTTATCTACAGGATGGTGATATTATTCATTCTCTTAAATATTTTATTTTAAAGGCATGAAAACAGTCTTAGGGTTGATTCCTACCAACTTCTTTCCCTTTCTGCCATTGTCCCACCCCCCTACACACACACACACACACACACACACACACACACACACACACACACACACACCCCTCTTTCTCTCCAGGCCATTTTAATAAGCTAACATCTCTCTCTCTCTCTCTCTCTCTCTCTCTCTCTCTCTCTCTCTCTCTCTCTTTCTCTCCAGGCCATTTTCACACACACACACACCCCTCTTTCTCTCCAGGCCATTTTAAATCTGTTCTGCTTTATGACTGTCCTTGTGACTGTAATAGCCTCCTTTCCATCCAGTCCCATATGTCTGTGACTACAAAGTCAGCCCACAATTCTCTTCTAAATCCTTACTATGCATTTGCAGCTCTACCCTAGATCTACTGAATCACAATCTGCACTTTAGCAAGATCCACAGGTGATTAAAATACACATTAAACTTCAGGAGCACTGTTGAGAATCACGACCAGTTTATGACCCTTTCCTGCCAGGACCCCTTCCGCTGTGTCCAAGGAACCACGCCCTCCTTTACCTCACACCACATTCTTGCTTCTGTCCCAGCCTCTGCCTACACCTGTCTCTTGGACTAGTCTCTAAGATCCCTGAGAACAGGAAGTGTACCTGGTTCAATTCTGTCCCTTTAGACCTAGCAAAGTGTCTAGTTTGGAGTGAGACTTAATAAATGTTTTCTGAACGAATTTTTTCTTTTGTTTTGGGCAGCTGGCTGGTACAGAGATCGAACCCTGGGTAATTGTTCTTTTAATAATGCCAAGAGTAAATGACAAATTCTCTCTCATCATCCACACTGAAGCATTCAACGCTGAACTTATTTTTACAAACTTACTTATATCTTACTAGGGACATTCTTTTTTACATCCTTTACAATAAGTAGCAAATGTTAGATATTATTAGATATTCGAAGATCCACTTTATTTTTTATTTATATTTAGCCACCAATTTTACTTGCTTTTAGAGAAATGTTAAAAAAAAGATTTTTTTAATATAAATTTACCAAATTGCTGCCCCTTCAGCAGAAAAAGTCTGATGAGTCATCCCCATAAAAAATTATTAGAAAATGGATCCCCATACTGGCCAGCCATTAAAAAAAAAAAAAAAAAAAAA